TGCTTTCATGTCAATATAGACCAAAATCTCTGTGGAATATTTCCAGTACCATGTTGAATCTCTGCCACGAAGTATTAAGGCAGTTCTGAAGGCAAAAGGGGTTCCAACCTGGTACTAGCAAGGTGTACCTAATAAAGTGTAGTAAATGAGTGTAGGTCTTATTTAAAGGAGGAGTAATAATATTAAACATTCAGATACTGTGAACAGCCCTATTAGGATGTGGTTATTATTAAAACAGTGCATAGGAATCTATTGAACTATGTTAACTGTACTCATTTGAAAAGATCCCTGCCTCTTATTTTGGTCACTGAGTGCAAATGAATTATTAATAAGATCCAGAATGTTAATAGTTATAGTGTACAAACCATTTAAGCAATCATTTTATTAGCCTGATTTTCCGATATAATAATACAATATGCACATTCCATGAAATGAATGTACATATTGTGGTTAAACTGTATTGAAACAATGAATTCAGAATAGATTCTTTCCCATCACTAGTCATCAGCGTCACATGATGATTCTAAAGAAATCTATAACATACTGCTCTTTTGGTGCTCAAGAAAAAAATGTCTTGATGTTATAATTAATATATGCTGTGTTTCGAAAGAAAAGCATTTATTTTACTGTCACTTTCAATTTATTTGTGACCGCCTGTTCTGCTGAACATTTATCGTTTATGTTTTATATTTGCAGTACATTTAAAAATAAATTAATTCCAGCAGCAGATCATCATTATCTGCCATTACTCCAATTAACCGCTCAGAATGAACCAGAACTGTAGATATTTACTCTGAGCTATGTTCATCACTGATGAAAATGATTCATTTCCAAGAGAACATCATTATCCACACTCAAAAAAAGTGACGAGGACATGTCCCAACCGTAAATGACACCTAAATGTGGAATACTGTAAGTGTGTTACCCCTCTCGCTCTAAATGCTTCATTAATTCCTGTCGTTCAAAGGACGTACAAAAGGGAAAGTGAAAAAGGTAACATCTCCCACAGAGAGAAGAGACGGGGGCTTCACCCCAGGCAAACATGGCCGGACACTTCCATTAGCTTGATGATGCGGGAGGGTACTTTTATTTTCATCCTCGTCAAGGTTAGAGACCTGTAAAAAAGAATTCCATTCACCCAAAGAGAACAGGAAAGAATTACAGGTGAGTTTTACTGGGGATGGAAAAGTATGTACAGTATAAAGCCAAGCCACATTTATTTCAGTATCTGTAATGTTATGTTTTATGAATACAAAATGGCATACTGCGACTTAAACAAATAATACAGATATGCCCAAAAACAGGATATGGCATTATAGCTGGTGTAAAAAAATAATAATAATAATAATAAAAATAAAATAAAATAAAACACATAATTGTGTATTTTGTGACAAGTTTTTTTATTATTTTTTTTTTCAAAGTATTTTCTCCTTGAAAGAATAAAAATGTACCTGGTTAATTACAAAGCTGTAAAATTAGTAAGACACTTGAAAGAAAAGACAAAAAGCCTCTTAATGTAAAAATCTCTGAAAGACTTTCTGTAACACTTTAGAATAATTATCCGTTATAACATGTTAATAGTCCATTATTAAACTGTTAGTGAATGAGTTATAAACAACTTGTTAAATAAAAGGTAATAGTTTGTTAATTATTTATAACTGTGCCTTACAGATATATAATATATAACTTACAAGCTGTTAGCTAACTGTATTTTAATGATTTATAATTATACCTAATAAATTAGTACTTTTGTAGAACTTGTTTAATAAAATAGATTTTTATTTATTTTGTTTTCTTGTTTAGCACAAAATGTGCCCACACCTCATGGGTTTGTATTCTGTTGTATACTGCTGTTCTGCCATATGATGGCTCAGTATTTGTTTTTCTATACATTAAACACAATGTTCAACATTCCATCGGTGGCGTTTCTTTGGTAAAATACAGCACATAGAAAAGCCTATGAGTGGAACAAGGTTGGGGTACAAAAAAATATATTTTAAATATCACATCAATTTTCTGTTGCTTGCTCTCATCCATTTGCTGTTCTACAAAGTTTTACTGGTATTAGTAGATGGTTAACAAACGACACTGAAAAAAATTGGTACCACTTTAAAATAAGGTTCATTAGTTAATGTGTTAACATGAACTAATCATGAACAACACTTGTACAGCATTTATTAATCATAATTGAACATTTACTAATGCATTATTAATATTTAAGTCCATGCTTGTTAAGATTAGTTATGCACCATGAGTTAACATGAACTAATATTGAACTACTGTTTTCATTAACTAACGTTGACAAACATGAACAAATACAGTAGTAAATGTATTGTTCATTGTTTGATCATCTTAGTAAATGCATTAATTAACATTAACTAATCAACCTCATTGTAAAGTGTGACCAAAAAATTATTCAAAGATGATTCCTTGAATTTACTATTTATTTTTTATTTTATTTTTTATTTATTTTATTTTTTACGTTAAGTGGTTGTAAACTATTTATTTAGGCTGAATTTAAACCAACAAATTAAGTTAAACATTATTAAATTAAATTTGTTTGTTTAAATTCAACACAAATAAATGGTTTGCAAAAGTTCTGCAGACATTTTTTTTTTCAGTGTATGAACAACTGATTGGTAAAGTGTGAGTTAATATATTAGTTAAGTGTTATTTAATAGTTTATATATGTTTGGACATTATTCTAGTTGCAACTATTCTTTATTTACTAACAGTTAATAAATGAAGAATAGTTGCAACTAGAATAACATCCCAATAACATACATAAATGATTAACTGATACTTAACACGTTTTTAGTAAGTAATTTACTAACAGCTTGTTCATGATCTATTAGTAATTTATTAGGAATAGTTATAAATCATTAAAATACAGTTAACAAGCAATTTATAACTCATTCATTAACAGTTTATTAATGGACTATTAACTAGTTATAACGGATAGTTATTTTAAAGTGTTACCAGACTTTCTTCTTAAAGAAGCTTTTCCACGGTGAATATAAGAACATTGTCACATTATTCATTGACTTGTTTATCAAGAGGTTAAACTTATTGCAATTTTATCAGATTTCCCATTTTTAATTGAAAATCAGCATTATATATGAGAATTGGTTGTGCTAAGTGTAATGGCTAAAAATAAACAACAATCAATGTTGAGAGTAAGTAGTTACATGTAATGGTGTTATGCAATTTATTTACAAAATAAATGTAACAGTAATTTGTTACAGTTGAGAAAAATGTGTAAATAAATACAGTTACTTATGAAAATGTTAAAGATAATAAATGGGGTAACAACTAAATATGTTGACTAATATTAATCTGTTGCTTTGCCTGTTTTTGATATGCACGATGCCTTCACCTATGGCCATTTATTAACATGGTGCTGTTCTGATGCTTTTGATTGGTTTTCTAGTTAAATTGTGAGTACAACAAAGACCATGCAGGTCAGGTAGTTAAAATGATAGGCTACAAATAATTCGTTATGAATTAGTGAATTAGTCATGAATAATTAATTGACCGCTGCTTACGATCATGATGCCATTGTCTATTGTGATGTTTCTCATTAAATATCGCACAATGCCAAATTGGTCAATATCACCCAACCCTAGTACACTAGCAAATAAATTCTGTAAGAAAGTCTGTATGAGCTGCGACCATTTTTTCTTTTTTTTTTTGCTTTCGTGAATAGAATATTAAATGAGAAAACGCATCCAGACACTACAGTGTGTTTTACTTTTCTTCATAAACTTGCATCAGAGCTGCAGCAATGATTTGTCAGTTTGTCATCCTCTGAGAAAACGCTTGATGGTCAGAGAGAGACGCCAGGGGAGCACAAAGCCTATTGTGAATGGTCAAGGAAACCGAAATCACGCGCTTGCGTTTGTCACTTCATGTCAGAATAACAACACATGTGAAAATGAGTGCGGTGGCTAGTAGCAGTGAGAAGATTGTAAATAAAAAAGAATGTAAGGATGTCGCCAGAGTGGCTTTTTGGTTTCTTTTCTTGTGCATCTCAGCCATTAGCAGTCTATCTGAAAGAGTTTTTAGCATAGGGGTAATTTATTGATATGTATTTGAATAATAATTATTAGTTCATTTACTTGAAAGCTCTGATTTGATTATAAGAATTTATTTTGTTTTCAGAGTTTGAAGTTTACTGTATTATTATTATTCAATATTTCATTCATTATTATTAATTTTATTATTTCCATTAGTAATGCTGGTAAATTAAAATAAAGTGGTTATATATAAAAAAAATCCTAATATTCCTAAATGTATTGTTAAAAATATTCCATAATTAACAATATCGAATGATATGAAACATGATATCCTGCTATTTTTTTATTTGCAATATCTCGCAGCCCTAAGCTAAACACTATAGTATTGGTTTTGAATTTATTTTAACATTGTGTATTACATGTATTCTATTAAAGTAGATCTAGATTTAAAATGTCTGTGTGTGTCTGCCTCCCGCATTGTACTACAAAGCCCTGTCCCCCGCAGTAGATTTTTATTTTGTAGGTATTATAAATTGACCAGCATCTCTGAAAGCACAATTGCTTTCCCTGTGCCCCAATTTTGAGAGCTTGTTTATTCATTTAAGAAATGATACATTTCACCAGAGTAATTACCACAACATGGGGTAATTAGGGAGGTGGATTGGTGTCTTGGCAGCAGTCAAGCGAAACAACAGAGCGAGCCACACTGCCATGCGTGTTACAGGCCTGCCAAAAGGAGGACGTCATGTTGATACGCTTTTTGCTACAAGAGGGGAAATGAAAGCTGTTCCTCTGGCACGTGTTTTCCACGCAGATTTAATGAGCTCGGTGTGGGAAGTTGCTGGAAATAAATGAATAGCGCACGTTAGAGATAATGTAAGAGCTGATGTGTTCACACCTGTTTTACGACGCAGATTTGTGTTCCAGATTGTGGGTTATGAGCTGTTGGAAACTCGTCTTGTTATTGTTTTTTTTTCCACCTAGAGCGGATTGTTCGTCATGGACCAGTGTTCACTCAAGAGCCCAGCGACAGTGTTTTCCCTTTAACTGCTGAGGACAACAAGATATTCATTAACTGCAAAGCCAAGGGAAGCCCAGAGCCACATTACAGGTATGACCATTCCACTTTAAAGTTTGAGATCCTATTGAAAGGATTTCCCCCCCTTTTCTTTCACCTTATTATCTTTTCGCTTAATAATGAACAATTGTACAGCATTTATTAATCTAGGTTCAACATTTGCTAATGCCTTACATTAGTTGATGCACTGCGCTTTAACATGTACTAACAATGAGCAACTTTATTTTTATGAATTATTGTTAACAAATATAAATAAATGCAGCCCTATATACATTTCTGGAGATTGCAAATTACGTAGCCGGAAGTGCGTATGGCTACATTTCATCTTTAAAATGAAAGCTACAGGGCGGTATGATGTCATTCCTTGTCGCGCTTACCATCTGACTGCTTACCTCTGTATAGACGGCTTTCTAGCTGTTGGCAGTTTGTCTAGTAGCTTGCCATGTATGTTGGCGGACTTGAGACGCAGAGAGGAGTTGAACACGACAATGGGGTTCAAGTCGAGTGAAGAAAGGTTCCAGAAAGCAGGTAAGACAAAAAAAAGAAGCCAAAAAAATAAATAAAAATAAACAATTAAATAACAGGGTGAGAATGTGGTAAAATCTGAAAAGGTGGTAAAAATCAGGCAAGGGCATATCTTTTTCTGGATTGTTTTTTAAAACTGTCGGTTGAATTTACAGAAGTGGGTGGTCAGGTCAATCGGGTCAATTTAAAAATGCTTTTAAAAACACTATTGATTGGGTTTAGGGAAGAAGAAGAGTTGTTTAGCCGATCAATCAGTTAGTCAGTCTGCCCTTGCCGTGGCCGTCAGCTCACCATTAAAAAAAATTAAACTACACATAGCAACGACGCACAGCGCAATTTCTATGATTGCTCAGCTTGGTATTGCTGACGAGTGTGGGTGGAACCAAGAGCCACGTGAGCCAGATGGAGCGAGTGCTTACAAGTGTGGAGTCCCATGAAAGAGCTCTAGATTAAGACTGTTGTTTTGTGTTTACCTTACGATTAAATTTGTGGCACATCCGCCATTTCCCGCCTCTGAATGAGCAAGTTTAAGCTACTTATAAATTAAGGTAGCGTTCAGAAAAAAACAATACACCAGCAAAGTAGCTAGACACGGAGGAATAAAAAAGCCTCATTGCCAACTAGCGTTTCAGAAGTGTGTGTGTAAATGCACAGCAACGCTCAAGCCATGCACCGTGTGTAATGCCGATCACTCAATGCAGAAGTATAAACCAGGCTTTAGTCAGTCAGTCGACAGCGGCCTCTGGTGGATTTATGCAAGAATAGCAGTCGCCAACTCCATTCGCGAGAGAAATTTGAGAACTAAGAAAATCATACACAACGACCTCTGGTGGATTCGCAAAAACAAAAACTGAAAAAAAAAAAAAAAAAAAAAAACATAGCTCCAGGGTTATATTTGGCGCTCTCCAGAAATGTATAATGCGGTACATTTCAGAATTATCCTGGGTTGGCAATAAATGTATTGCTCATTGTCTGTTCTTGTTTGTAAATTAATTTAATTACATGCTAAACTAACGCAACCTTATTGTAAAGTATTACTTAAACTTGTATTTTTAGATTGTAAATATGTTTGTATTATATTTATATACAGCTTCAAGCTTCGGGCAGTGGGTATTTTAACATTGTTTATATACTGCTCTAGTTCAGTGGTTCACAAAGGGGGGTGGGGGGTCACTTTGTAATATCTAATTTCTTATTAAATATTATTTATGTTATCAAAATATTAGAATTACCATATTTTATCCAAAATTAAAGTAAGAATAGTCTTGTGCGGTACACATTGTGCCCACAGATCTCATTAAGTGAGGCTACTATCAAACAAATCGTCACCTTAGAATTATATGGTTCTATCTGACATTTCTGTCAAAATTGAGTTATTGACATATTCTTATTAAGTAAACTTATTTACATTATGGGATTTTTTTTATAAGTTGTTTACATTTTAAGACTTTTTATTAAAAAAAAAATAAAAATGTTACACACATACTGTTTGCTAAAGAATGCAAAAACTTTGAAGCTCAATATCTCAAAATCACTCAGAACACAGATAGAACCTTATAATTTCAAGGTGATGAAATGTATACTCACTATAAAAAAATTATATAATTTTTGCACTGTTTGTTTGTTTCACTTTTTTGTGCTGTCAATAAGCTCTATTGTTCTATTGTTGTGTGTGCACCATTGTGTGCAATGTTTATATGTTTGTTGATATGTTTGTAACCATCTCCAAGGATAGTGGGTTTCGCTGGAACTGTTATTTTAGCGGTTACATGCTGAAAAGTTTGAGAACCCATACACTAGTTATACTCTGTTTATATAAATTGGTGCATTTTGTAAGATTTTTATTTTTTGTATTTTTATATTTATTATTTTGTATTTTAGTTTTTTTATTCAATTAAATTAACTTTAGATTGTTATGCTATTTAACTTATTTTTATTTTTATTGGTTTTATATTTTCTAAACAACATTACATCTTTTGCAGTCACATATTTTCTCTGAAGAAGCTGGATTTAAACAGTTCATCTGAATTCTGCTGAAAATATTACCATCTCTGTAAGACTCAGTTTTCATCTCATCATCATCATCACCATCATCATCATTAATATTCAATGCTCTCCACCTGATTTCATATTTAGGTGGAAATTCAGCGGGAAAGACCTTGACATCGACATGGACTTCAACTACAGTCTGGTTGAGGGAAACCTTTTGATCAATAACCCTCAGGCAACTAAACACAGCGGTGTTTACCAGTGTATCGCCACTAATGCATTTGGAACCATCTTGAGCCGAGAAGCCAAAGTCGAGTTTGCATGTAAGTTTAAATTAAACATATATATATATATATATTTTTTTTTTTTTTTATTATTATTATTTTTTACATATGAATGTTTTAAAGGGTTCTTCCACCCTAGATTACTAATGCTTTGACTGCGCTGTCCATATATGTGAGCTTAATAGCATTATAGGTAAAACGGCCACTATGTTATTTTGCACATTTCATGTTGTCATTTGGTCCATTAGTGTGTAAGATATGGTTTCTTCACTGCAAACGGCAGGCTTTTAAACTGACAGCTACATTTTCCTATCTGCAAGAATCCATCAGGAGATGTCAATGATGCTAACTAAAATGCAGCCTGTCATAGAAAATTGAAAAAAGGGCTTAAATAGATAATCATAACACAGATAGTCAGACTAGTTCATACTGTGTATATTTATATATAAAAAAACACGCTGTTCATTTGAAATCTCACAAGTAGATGTGTTTTTTAGGTCTTGAGTGATGCAGGAAATTGTTGTAGGACTAATTGGTGGCGCTTCACTGGCAAAATTGGCATTTACAGAGTGCGAAAAATCATTTTCCCAATGATTTACCTTCTCACATAGCTGTCAATTCTGAAGTCTCGAGGAATACTTTTTTATTCTTGACTTATAATGAGGAAGGTTTTCATTGTGTGTTTTATTTAGTTTTATATGCTTGTCTTTTTTTCCCTCTTGATGCATTAAAAGGAAAATGATTTTCTTTTTCAAATAAATAAACAACAGTAGCTTTTTTCAGTTTCTGCCTAATAAAATGTTTTAAAGCTTGGCATAACCAGTAAAATGCAAATGACATTACAAAAAAGGATTTATAAGTTGTTAATAATTTGCTGGTCCTGAAGTCACATCTTTAAAAGAGCCTACATTATGTATTATGGTTTACTAAGCATGCTAGGGAAATAAACATCTTAGTTGTCCTAGCTTATTTTCTAGCTTGTTTGTAGGTTTCTTTATGGTTTCAATAACATTATTTTATTCTGTCTAAATTTGTTTTTTAAAAGTTTATTTTATTAAAATTTTTTAATTTTATTTGTTGTAACATCATATTTATGATAGATGTGCACTTACATGTTTGAGTAATGTATTAATGTCCATAACTTTTGCAAGTACTGAAATTATTTTGTTTCTTCAAATTATATTCATTATAATTTCCCAAGTGGGTAGAGTAAAAACACAATATGTAACAGTTTCCCCTTATTTAAATGTTTGTTTGGCTTTATATAATATTTTCCAAAAAAAAAAAAAAAAAAAAAGAACATTTTTAGTGCAAAAACATGTCAGAAATTTACATTGAGTAATAAGATAATAACCATCATTCATGTAATTTGAATCCAGACCCCCAAATTAAATATTATAGTAAAAAATAAAATAAATAAAAAATGGAATTTATAAATAAACATTAAACAAACATAATAGTAAAATAATAAATAAATAAATAAATAAATAAATAATAATAATAATAATAATAAAAATACAAAATAATTTTACAAAAAGGCAGATTACATTTATTTTGTCCAGACTGAGCCTAACAGAAAAACTTTTAGTCTTAGAGACTTAGAAGTCCCTAGATAATCAAAGAAAGAATTCCAGGTCCGATAAAATAGGAAAGGCTTGTTCTTTATAGCTGTGGAGAAAGCCTCAAGTGGGATTATGGTGCAGACTGGTTTGGTCTTTTTTAAAAATAATATTCTTATTCTTAAATGGGTAATAATTTTAACTATCAAATTGTTTAAATTGGTAAATTGTTTAAAAAAAGCTGCTTTTCTTCTAAATTATTCTAATTTTTTAACTATTTATTTTAATGTTCATTTTGTCTCTGTCTAATTGATTCAAATAAAACATAGAACAGAAAACATGTCATAACCAAGTTACAGTGACAGCCACCTCAAGAGAAATCCAGTGTTGCTGACTTTTTGTATAGCTAAAATTACCTCAAATCTCACCTCCTTCAGAATTATTTTTTCTCACTTTAACCATAAACCTCACTTATTTTCAATATATGTGCTTTCCCATTGTCATTTGATTGCCCAAACCACATGACGTTCCACAGAGGCCTGCATTTATGAGGCAGGAGGACTGATATTTGAATAAACAGCTCAGCTTTAGCCCAGTGTGGGATGTCATTTCTGCCTGTCCCTTTCTGTGCTATAGAGTGGCATTTCTAAAGGTCCCTGCTCTGTGAGTCGTCTGTTGCATGTCAGAGCAATGACACCGCCTTTAATGAAAAGTAATGGCGATCCTATTATTTTGTTTTTCTGCAGACCTGCAGAATTTCAGCATCAGGGCCAGAAGTCCAGTGTCAGTGAGGGAAGGACAGTCTGTTGTGCTGCTGTGTGGTCCGCCGGCCCACTTCGGAGGTATTTTCATTGTTGTTCCTAATTCATTTGAATGTTATTTCCCTGCAGGTGTCTGCTATTCTTTGAAGTTATCACTGCTTTTCCACTTTACTTTGATGAATAGCAATTTTCATACAAAGCAGGACTGACAATCTTTTGGAAAACCTGTTGACCTGTTTCTGCAGTGTGTTTTTGATCAGTGCAAGCGTTGTGAAGCAAATCAAGGTCAGGAATTCACTATTAGTAATGTGAAAGGAAACCTTATCGTGCAATGCTCACTTGTAATGTGTTGTATATGGAAGTTAATTATTGACAAATGTTTTTGAAAAAAAAATTTCTTGAATTGCTCAAAACGAAAAAAAAAATCGAGTAAAAAAAAAGAGTGCTTGTACTTTAAAAGCATTGTATTTTCATGCTTTGCATGTTTAGGCTTTGTAATTCAACAAGGCTGTGTATACAAGCACTTAATATTTCAAATGAAAACATTTCAGGTGACAACATTCTAAAGACGATGGACTTTATTTTGACGATCCATGCGCAAAGTCTAAAGTGCATGGCGCAAATGCATTAAGGACGTGCCAGAATCCACTTTTGCTATTTTAAGGAGGAAAAAGCCCCGCTCTGCGCCTCGGCGCATGGTCTAACAGGGTTGAGCTTATTCTCTTATTGAGTTATAGGTGTGTTTTGAGAATAAACCAATCAGAGTCTCATCTCCCATTCCCTTTAAGAGTCAATTGCGTCACGCGGATAAGTGGACTTTGTAAGTGGAAAAACTGAACCCTTCACTAGCAAGAAAACAGTTAAACAGAGCATCTACAGCGCAAGAATGAGCCTCCTCATTCTTTACTTTCACTTTCACTCTCGTGGATAAGAAATATGTTGTACGCACAGACGTCCATTAGCCTATACATAATTCACTTTGTTTGTTAAGCGCAAAGACTTGTTTCAAACTATTTCTGCAAACAAATGCTGCAAATCTAAGCTTGTTTTTAATAAAACAAAAATAAATATGCATATAATAAATAATACAGCTAATAATAATAATAACATTATACAAAAGCAAATTATTATGAATAAACTGAAAAAGCCCCCCTGATGAAGAAGGCATGGAGGTGGTGGTTTTTATATATTTTAGGCTAGAAAATAATATTTTTTGTAATATTTTAATACTTAAATTATTTTTTATTTACAAAGATATTTGCGTATTGCTGTACATCCTGTATGTATTAAGCAATGTGTAAGCAAGGTGCACAAATATTACACTCTGCTCTGGACTATAGACCTGCTTTGATCCGGTCTATTGAACAGTCTATTTTAGTTATTCAAAATAGCAATGCGCCAGCAATGCTCCTTAGCACGCCTCCTTTTTTAGACCAGAACGGCTATGGGCACACATATGAGTGCAAATGCATTTGCTATTTAAACAGCGTGGTGCAAAACGTCAAAATGACTCTCGCAGCAAGCTGAAACTAGCAAACAACAATTGTGTCTCGCCTTGTGCCTCAATGCGCCACATTGTGCCGGGTGTATGATAGGGCCCGATGGCTGTTTCTCAGAATGCATTCTTGTCTGTACTTGCATTCTTGTGTCCTCTTAAAATGTCATCAACCTTCGCTAAAGCACTGTTGTAATTAATAGTTGACATCTTGCCAAGTACAGATAAAATTCCCACATGTGTACTTGCTCTGCCCCTATGGCCAAGAATGCATCAAGAGGTGACTTGTGCCAACTTTTGAAGGTATCCAAGCTCAGGCATTGCAGCCCAACCTGAAAAAGCTAATGGTGGAGGAGAAAACTCGCACGGTTTTAAAAATACTCCTTTGCTGTGTTACAAAATAACGTTTTAAGAGCTTTTCAGGTGAGAATGTATTTGTTTTAAATTCAAACCGTCAGTTTATTCACAGAGATAGCACGTCTTTGACGATGTGCCTCAGCTTATGCTGACTCTGACTCCCAGCCTGTTAGCGGGACCTTCGTCATCACCTCTTCCGCCGAAAGCAGCTTTACTTTGGCCAGGCCTTCTCGGATGTACCGCTGGATCTCATCTCTCCATTGTAGTTAAAACATCGTATTTAATACATCTTTTGTATATCTAACGGACAGTTTTTTGGTCATGTCAATCTATTTTTTTGTTCTCAAGTGTATTTATTCGGCAGTGTTATTTTATAACTATCTATCTGTATATCTGTCTGTCTGTCTGTCTGTCTGTCTGTCTGTCTGTCTGTCTTTCTGTCTGTCTGTCTGTCTGTCTATCTATCTATCTATCTATCTATCTGTATATCTGTCTGTCTGTCTGTCTATCTGTCTATCTGTCTATCTGTCTATCTGTCTGTCTGTCTGTCTATCTATCTATCTATCTATCTATCTATCTATCTATCTATCTATCTATCTATCTATCTATCTATCTATCTATCTATCTGTCTGTCTGTCTGTCTGTCTGTCTGTCTGTCTGTCTGTCTGTCTGTCTGTCTGTCTGTCTGTCTGTCTGTCTGTCTGTCTGTCTGTCTGTCTGTCTATCTATCTGTCTATATGTCTATCTGTCTATCTGTCTATCTGTCTGTCTGTCTGTCTGTCTATCTATCTATCTATCTGTCTGTCTGTCTGTCTGTCTGTCTGTCTGTCTACCTACCTACCTACCTACCTACCTACCTACCTACCTACCTACTTACTTACTATTTTGTCTGTCTGTCGTTATATCTCCTGTCATACAAAGGAAGAGCAGCAATGTTTGCCATACAGGTTTTCAGAGCATGAGTTTGATCGGTTTTATCACTTTGAAGAAATGCTAAGCAAATCCAAGGTCAGGAATTCGCTAGTAATGTGAAAGAAAAGCTCCTTCTGTAGTGCTTATTTAGTATGTATAGGTTGTGTTGTTTCAGATTGTGTTTTAGTCATTTCATATTGTGAGCAAACCAACCTGTGAAATAATTAAAACTGGTGTTCTTGTCATCTTTTCTGAAATGTTTTGACAGTGTTTCCAGCTGCTGAATATAGGCTTTTTTCACATTCCATTTTACTGGAATATGCATTTTTATGAATCTGAGAGTTATTTTCTTGAACGCATTCGTTTGCATGCATCCAGCGCTACTCTTTGAAGTTATCGCTGCTTTCCCACTTAACTTTGAATGAATAGCACCTTTCATACAAAGCAAGGAGGGGATGTTTTGCAAAACCCGTTGACCTGTTTTCACTGCGTGTTTTTGAGCAGTTCAAGTGCTGTGAAACAAAGCTAAGGTAATCCAAGGTCAGGAATTTACATGTAATGTGAGAGAAAAGCTCAATCTGTAGTGCTCATTTTGTATGTATGGGACAGATTGCATCGTCGTTGTCTCATATTGTCAGAAAATGATTGGCACAGTTGGTGGCAGAAATTATTATTAAAATTTAATGGTGGTTATCATTGAGATTTGAGTAAAGTATGTCAAAGGGAATGCAAGGGCAAACTACAAAAAAAGTATAACTGGGTCCTAAATGGCACACTATACGCTTGCACTTTTGCACTTTGTACTTATGCTTACAAACTCAACAGCATGTTATATGAATGTAGTGTCATCCCAAATGGGACACTAACATTTTTTTAGTAAGAGGAAATTCAAACTGTTTCCCTCATGATATTTGACGATTGGCAAATTGGTGAAATAAATGATCAAACTACCAAATAATACCTGCCATGAGTATAACCACATTCACCATCGGTAGGCAGTATGATCACTCTTGTAGGGGAATTTTGCTTTCACAATCCAAAATAAATAATCTAACATTAGTGCCCGAACGCTCCGTTAAGTGCGTCAAGTGTCCAACATAACACACGGTTGAATACAACATAGGCTCATTCTGAAAACGTAGCCCTATATACATTTCTGGAGATCCCGAATTATGTAGCCAGAACTACATATGGCTGCATTTCATCTTTAAAATTAATGCTATGGGGCAGTATGATGCCTTTCCTTTTCTCGCTCATTAGCTGATCGCTTACCTTTGTATGGACGGCTTTTTCGCTGTAATCAGTTTGTCCGGTAGCTCGACACAAGTCGGCGGACATAAGACGGTGTTTGAGTCTGGTGAAGAACAGTTCTAGAAAGTAGGTAATACAAAAAAAGTTAAAAAATAAAATAGATAAGTAAATAACAGGGTGAGAACGTGGTTAAACTTGTGAATTAGTTCGAGGGCTTTTCTTTTTCTGGAATGCTTTTGAAAACACTACGGTTGGGTTTAGGGAAAGGGGTGGACGGGTCAACTGGTGCTTTTTAAAATACTATTGGTTGGGTTTAGGGAAGGGAGAGGGTGGTGGTATAGGTTGGTAAGTCAGTCAGTCAAAAAACTGCAAAAATTGTAGCTCCTGGGACGTATTTGGCGCTCTCCAGAAATGTATATAGAGGTACATAATCAGAATGAGCCTGGTTTAAGAAATGTGAATGTTTGTGCAGACTGTTTTCGTGATTATTAAAAACTGTAATTCATTCAAATCAAGGGGTGGTCCACTACAATATCATGTTGTAAACTTTATTCATATGTAATGTAGGTGTGCGAACATAACATCTCTGAATGTCTTTTTTAGAGTTAACTTAGCAAAGCCTACGGTGAATAAGGTTTGGGGACTACAAAAAATACATCCAGGTTAATGAGATCACAGGGGGTTCCGGTTATGCACATTCACCATGCGCATAAACCATGCACAGCAATAGGTCGTGGCCACAGGTGCTGTAATGTTATAGCAGAAAAAGCTAAAATGCTGTCCAAATGCTGCTATTTCCACTGAGCTTCTTCTGTTTCTGTATTTGGGCATCCAAAGGACACGACACAAAGAGAGAAGTGCTTACAGTTTAGTTTTAAGTATGTTCCAGAGTATTATAAAAATATATATCTAACATTCGACAAAGGATCGTTTCTAGAATCTCTCCCAGTTCACTGCTAAAAGCTGGTCCAAGCAGAAGCAGATCCAACCATAATAGAGGAAGCTGTGGATTGTGAGCGACAACCTGTAGGTATTTTTATCTGTTAAAATTGATCTATTACATGCA